GGGCAAACCGTGTGGATTATTAACGGACCCAAGATGCGGCACAACTGAGGTGAGGAAGCTTAATTGGTGGAGAGTGCACATACAACAAAAGACAAGGGTGGCGAGAACAGAACTGAGTAAAACCTAAACTGGGAGAAACTAAGAATAAAGCTAACCGGAAACCTTGAGACACAAATGGAGATGCAGGGAGATGTAGAGAATGATGCAGCGAGTGAACATAGAATGACAGACGGAGAGATGCAGACGAACCAGCAACGAGGACGAGGTAACACACACTACCTGCCGCTGTCCAACACCAGTTCAGAGAGCCAACCAGGAGGCCAGCACCACAGATGTCCAAAACAGAACATTTCAGGGGGCCGACAGCACAGGAGTCCGAGCAGCTCCAGGGGCCGGCCGGCCGTGTGGAAGGCAGTGGCGGCGGCGGAGGCGACAGAGCTGGTCCGGAGGCCGCGCACTACGGTGATGATGCCCAGTCAGTGGCCTGGAAAGCGGCCGGTGATGTTGAGGAGCTGGACGTACAAAGGACAGTGGTGAAGCAACCTCAGGAATAGGCGAAGGCGAAGCTGGACCAGGCTACGCCGACGCTGCAGGTGTGGATGAAGGCGAAGCTGACGCTGAAGCTGCTGCTGCTGCAGGTGTGGACAAAGCTGCTGTTGCTGCAGGTGTGGATGAAGGGATAAAGACACGAAGGCTGTACCAGACGAGGAAGAAGGCGCTGCAGGCGACGGCGTGGCAGCCGCAGGTGTTGGCGCTGCAGGCGACGGCGTGGCGACAGGCCTCTCGGACCCTCCAGCGGAGACAGGAGACGGCTGGAGCGGTTCTCCAGAACCCCCAGCAGGAATAACAGACCAAGGCCAGACGGGCCCCTCGGACTCTCCAGCAAGAACAGGAAGCTAAACGGGCCCCTCGGTCCCTCATGCAGAGACAAAGGCTGGTGCGGTTCTCCAGAACCCCCAGCGGGAACAACAGATGAAGGCCGGACGGGCCCCTCGGACCCTCCAGCAGGACCAGGTTGCA